CAAAATAAATACATCACTGCTCCGAAACAAAAGGAACAAATGGAAATAAGTACAAATGAAGGTGACTCCGAGGCCTGCGAATGCTGTAGCAAGTTTACCTTGAGTCTCCACCGCAACGACCCGCACAGCTACTACCGATCAAATACCTGGATCTGTACACAAAAATGTACAGAAGTGTGGTATGAGCACAACACGGCGGTGCCCAGTAAGTATCAAGACTAATCTCGGTGGGTTAGTGACAAGGAACAGTCCAGGCACCTACTGGTCAAATAAATTGAACAGGATTTGATAATAAACTATCAACCTAAAAATGACATAGTAATATCAACAGCAGGGAAAGAACAAACTATAATCAGTAGAAACAATAAAGAGGAACACAGGTGGAGAGGAAGATAACCAGATAAATTAACACCAACATAGCTGGAACACAGACAAGTAAAGAAAAATTTACTCAAACAAGGAAAGCGATGCCAGCTCAATAAATCATATCGTTTCTGATGTACAATTTCCATCCATCTCAAACTCGATGTCTCATATCATAACCTCAACTACAAAACTTTTAGCACACCCGGCACCTCGTGCCCACATATTTCTATCTCACTTTACTCAACAATGTTCTCAAGTTACTCGGTTCATAGGGTCTATAACCAATGCAATTAAGATGTTCAAGGAGTCTGATTTACATAACATAAGTGGAGTACAGCTTCTAAACCAATTAGGAACTCAGCAAGAAAAGATGAAGTTATTTTTTAGAAATCATTTAAATAAAGAAAGTACCATTTTCAATTAAAGTACAACATCGAATGAAATATTACCTTTAACAAGAAATATAATAAATTATCTTAGTAGAAATCCCCTTTTTAAGTAAAATACAACCTCGGACAGTTTAAGAGAATTCAATTGAGTAACTAAATGAATTGAAGATGAAAAAATTATTGAAATTTGAAGTATTAAAATATGTATATAAATACGGCAAAATATTGAAAACATGATGGGGTTCCTTCACAAAGGATCACAACGGTAAAGGAATCTGAATAGTTAAACACTTGAATTGGTAACAGCAAATAAACATAGCAAACAGAAAGTGCACGGCACCAAAATCCAATTACTAACAAGGATAAGGAAAACAAGCACAGAATTTCACTTTCATTTCATATCTTGTTGCAGGCGTGCAACCCGATCCCATTTCACATATCTCGTTGCAGGCGTACAACCCGATCCCATTTCACATATCTCGTTGCAGCATGCAACCCGCTGCCATTTCATATATCTCGTTGCAAGCGTGCAACCCGCTCCCATTTCATATAGCTCGTTGCAGGCATGCAACCCGCTCCCATTTCATATATCTTGTTGCAGGCATGCAACCCGATCCCATTTCATATATCTTGTTGCAGGCGTGCAACCCGCTCCCATTTCGTATATCTTGTTGCAGGCGTGCAACCCGCTCCTATTTGCAAATCATCATCAATCATAAAAGAATCCCTGCAAGGGAACAAGAGTATAACAACAAAATCCCGGCAAGGGAGACAATATCATAAGCGATAACGTCCCGGCAAGGGAATCAACAAGTAAATAATAAGGGTCACGGGAAAACCAAGAAGCACGATAACCTCAACAAAATAACAAGGCATAATAAGAACGTGATAACTATGCCGATAACCACAACAATTGGACATGTAAAATATTCAGACGAAGTCATAGAGGAACTCATAATCAAGAAGTATCAAAACAATAAGGAAGACAATCACTTCAATTAAGACAATTAAGGGTCAATGTAACACGTGAGAATTAAAGAAAATCTAACGTCATATGGAGCATATAGAGTCAAGTTAAGAAATTAGGAAACCCAATCATAACGGGATGCTTTCCACATAAGGACCTAAGAACCCTAGAGGCAAATTTCTCACAAATAAGTCCGAGCACACACTCGTCACCTTGCATGCACAGACTACAATTAGCATGGAAGACTCAAATCCTAAGGGGAAGTCCCCCACACAAGGTTAGGCAAGATACTTACCTCAATCCGGCCAATTCTATACTCAATTTAGCTTTTCCTTTACCAGTTCATCAATGCTCGGCTCAATCTAGCCAAAAACGACTTGAACACATCTAAAAATGCAAGAGAAAATAATTCCAATAAACAAAACTATGATTCTTATACAATTTGTAAAAAGTCAACAAAAGTCAACTCCCCGGGCCCGCACCTCGGAACCCGACAATATTTACGAAAATCGAATACCCATTCCGATACGAGTTCGCCCATACAAAAATTATCCAATTCCGATACCATTTGGTCCTTCAAATCATCATTTTATATTTTTGAAAGATTTCACAAATTTTCTTCCCAAATCACGAATTAAATGATGAATTCAATGATAGATTCATGTACTCTAGCCACATCCGAGTTAGAATCACTTACCCCGATGAATTTCTTGAAAAACCTTTGAAAAATTGCCGAAATTCGAGCTCTCTAGGTCAAAATATGGAATAAAACCCTAAACCTTGTATTTATAGGGCACCTCCCGGATTTCCACCACTGCTGACCGCACAAAAACCAATGTTGTCCGCACAAAACCAGTGTTGTCCGCGGAGCATTTGACTGCAGTAACAAGCTTTAGTATTTTGGCCATAACTTTCTCTACAGATGTTGTGATTTCTTTACCTTTTTGGAAACTAGACACGAAGGACTACAACTTTCATTTTTGAATCATCTCAAAATTCCTTGTAGATCAAAAGATATAGGCTTCCGAAGTCAGACCAGTGCACCTGGGGAACATCTTGATGTGCGGCCGCACACCAAAATCCAAATTATGCGGTCCGCACTGAGGTCGGCATAAATTTTAGTACGGTACGCACACTCCTCTGAGGTCCGCATATTTTTGGTGCGGCCCGCACTCCCAAAAGTGCTAGAACCATCTCAGAGTACCGATATGCCCGGACCCCGAAACTCATCTGAGGCCCCCGGAATCTCAACCAAATGTACCAACACATCCCATAACATCATACCAAGCGTCCGAACCATATCAAATCAACTCCAAGCGACACCAAATTTTGCAGGCAAGTCCCAAATGACATAACGGAGCTGTTCCAACTTTCGGAATCGCATTCCGACCTCGATAACATAAAAGTCAACTATGGGTCAAACCTCTCCATTTCTCAAACTTCAACTTTTTCCAACTTTCACCAAAATGCCCCAAATTACCCTACGGGCCTCCAAACCCAAATTCGAACACAAGCCCAAGTCCAAAATTACCATACGAAGCTATTGACATCACCCAAAACTCATTCCGGAGCCGTTTACTCAGAAGTCAAATTCCGGTCCAATTCTCTCTACTTAAACTTCCAGAACTATATTCCTTCTTTCCGATTCGACTCCGATTCATCCGAAAACTGAATCCAACCCTGCACACAAGTCGTTATACATAATGTGAAGCTGCTCTTGAACTCAAACTTCCGAACCGGATGCAATTGTTCAAAACAACCAGTCGGGTCGTTATAATAGAGAACCAAATTCTCTACCAGTTCCCACTGTAAGAAACAGACTGTAAAACCAAGCATTATAGGGAATCAGGTTCTCTAATTGTTCCCACAGTAACTCGGCAGTAAATAAAGAACACAGAGGATTTTTACGTGGAAAAGTCCCAACTCAAGGGGACAAAAACCATGACCTACACTTGTAGGCTTTCAACTTCACTAACTTGTAAACACACTATTACAAGCCACTTTGTAATGACTCTATTACAAAGGCTTCAACTCAACTAACTTGTGATACACTTACCACAAGCCACTTTGTCACTCACTAGTTACAAAGACTTCAACTCAACTAACTTGTGATACATTTACCACAAGCCACTTTGTCACTCACTAGTTACAAAGACTTCAACTCAACTAACTTGTGATGCACCACAAATCACTTTGTCACTCACTAGTTACAAAGACTTCAACTTATGACTAACTCTAGTCACAACACAAACTCAGAAAGTTGATGGTTTTACAAAGGGGTTCCTACACAATGCTTCTAACTAAGCTAAGTAGGAGTTACAAATGAAGAACAAATAACAAAGACTCAACAAACATAAGGACTTAGGATATCTTCAATCTTTGGATCTGGTCCTTGAGGTTGCAGCAGCTTTGTTCTTGAGAGAGGTTGTGGCTAGCACTTGAGAGAATATTTTCTTTTGATTTTGCAAGTGTTAGAGAGATGAAATCCCTTGCCTCAGGTTGATAATATGTGTATGTGATGTCATCAAGGATGATGCAATAAAGTGCCCTTTAGTTTGGCCTTAGCAAGTTACAATTGTGCTGTTGTAGTGCTGTCAGACGGTACAGTGCAGCAGTCTGCTAGACGGTACAGTGCAGCAGTTTTTATAGCTGTAGAGTTGACTGTACAACGACGAGGAAAACTAATCCCTATCTGGTCTATTTGCTGTTTCCTTATCTGATTTCATTGAGAATTGGACCAGACATCTGACTAATTATTCGGAATGCAAGGGAACTTAATTGTATCATATTCCTTATCTTGTTCTCTCATGAAGTAAGTTGTTTTACCTTCCTTAATTGTATTTATACATGTGTGACATCATATACAATGATGTAAGCAAGGTAGGTAAAAAGCCTTCCACAGAAAGTTGAGTGCTGCACTGTTCCTGTACAGTAGCGTGTGCAGGTAGCAACTTTCCAACTGGAGAGTTGACTTCATACAGTCTCCTCGGGAACCGGTAGGGACCTGTTCCCTCAACTGTTCCTTTCACTCTGAAGAGTTATGTTATATCCTACGCTGGATCCCAACCTGGAACTTTGTAATCTTAAGGTCTTGTAAAAGTGTAACAAGTTCCTTATCTGGTTCTGGATGGTAAGTTTGTTAGATCATCAAAACATAGAGTAAAGTACTTATGCCCAAAGTACTTGTAACCTATCAATTATTTTCAGCGTTTTGATTTTAGTTATGCTCAATTTTTATTCATAATTGATAAGATATCGTTTTAATTTTCTAATGACAGAGGCGTACCCAATCAAATAGAAACAATAGGGCCAATCAAAAGATGCCTCACACAGGAGGGTCCAAAAGGCTGCAAATGGGATAGAGCCTATACGAGCACAAATTTTCTTATTAACTCATAAAAAATGTAAGGATGGTAGACCACTGGATGATGATTCTGCCAAGGCAATCGTAAGATTTTTTTTTTGGGATCTCTCTCTCACACGCTCATTCTCTACTGACTGCACTCAATTGTAAACTACAATTCTAAAAAAGATGCACTTACTTTTTCATACTCCCAAATGCTTTTGCCTTAACTGCTTTTTTCTACTGGTTGTTGTTCTCACTGCTACTGCTCTATTACTCGCATTGTTATCACTCTTGCTCTCAAATGTTTTAGCCTTCATTTAGTTTTATAAAATGGAACTCTTCAGATGAGCAAAATATTTAGTGCAGAACTGCAGCTTCTTCTTAAGTGAAATCCCTCCAAGTCTTGCATAAAGTTTATATGTTTTTGCTATCTACATTGGTGCGATCACCTCTCTCTTGTTCTCCTCTTATATTAGTGATGGCTAGTAGACAAAGAAGATTTGCTTGCTTATGTGTACATATATAATGCTCATATATTCATCTATTGACATAGTTATTTTATAATTTCAGGTCATACAGTCTGATGTCGATAATTTAGCGGGTCAAAGATTTCAATATCATGAAGAGTTGCAAAAATTATTTGAAGACTATTATTCGTTAGGATTAGTCACATAATGACATTAGCTATTTACTTCAAATAGTATATAAGTTTATTTTTTAGTTACTATGATATTAATATTTTGGATTAGTACATCCTTTTATTTGTTAATATTTAATGAGATACATTATATTTTTATGAATTAATATTAATATTTTTTGTTATTTGGATCATTTTTTTGAATGAATGTAATAACTATTATTAATGATGGGTAAACTATAGTCGTTATAGCTTGTGATTTTTAGTGCCAATTTAACAGGATATACCACTTATAAAATGGATGATAAAAGAGAAAAATATGATGTTTCCATAGAGGATATTGTAGCCATTATAATTGGTGTTTAAGATGACTTAGCGGCAATTTAATTGAATTTACTAGTATATTAGCCATTTTAATTGCCACAAAATAATTACTGCTAAAGGTATGAAACTTTTAGCGACAATTATTTTAAATTTAGCGGATAAAAATGGACACTAAAAGATCATTAATAGCCGTTTTAGCTTGGATTTAGCAACCATCATAATTGTCGCAAACAGTTGCCGTCAAAGCAAATGATATTTAGCGGCAATAAGCCATACCTTTTACCAGCTTTTGTGATAAAAGCCGCTAAAGGCTTTGCCGACCCCGACTTCAGCGGCTAAACAATAATGGCTGGTAAATGATATAGCGATTATTGTTATTGCCGCTAATGCCCTTTTTATTGCCGCTAAAGACCTCTTTTTTGTAGTGTGTATCTTTTTCCTCCCCTGCTTTGCACTCTCATTGGGCCACATAGATCCATATGAAGGAGATCAAGTGGTTTTGAGATGCTGACATCCTTCTTTGGCTTGAATGAGGATTTCACATGCTTTCCTCTAGCGCAGGCATCACAAACTTTGTGCTCTTTGAACTTTGACTTGGGCAGACCATGAACCAGGTCCTTCTGAACAAGTTTATTCAGTAGAGAGAAGCTTGCATGCCCCAGCCTTCTGTGCCACAATTCAGCATCATCATCAGCTGCTTTCAAGCAGCTAAGATCACCACTTTGTAGGGACTCGAAATCAGCAACGTAGATATTCTTGTATCTTTTGGCTATAAGTACCACTTCACCAGTTACTAGATTTGTAACTGTGCATATCTTTGACAAGAACTCCACCTTGTTTCCTTTATCACATATTTGAGAAACACTCAAGAGATTGTACTTAAGACCATTGACATAGTACACATTCTCAATTGAGCGAGTGAGTGATTTTCTAATTTTTCCAACACCAAGAATGTACCCCTTTTTCCCATTTCCAAAGGATACACTCTGTCTTTGCAGGGCTTTTAGTGAAAGAAAGTCCATGGTATTCCCAGTCATGTGCTTTGAGCATCCACTGTGCATGAACCATTATTGACTGCTCTCTTTCACTGTTCCCTGCACAAGGAAATCAAGGGTTAGATTTAGGAACCCAAACAAGTTTGGGTCCTTTGTAATAAGAATAGGGATGAATAAGTGCTCTTCTAGTCCATGCAGGTAACACGCGCTTTTTATGGGTGGCACCTAGTCCTCTTTCAGCAAAAACTTTGTTTTTCTGAAGAGACTGAACCCTGGCTTGGCAATTTTCTTTGAAATTCCCATTGTTCCCACAATGGGTACACAACCAATTATCAGGCACAGTAACGTACTTGCTATGAGGGTTATAAGGAGTTCTCTCCCTTTGAAACCCTATTCCTTGCCTGTTTCCACCATTGTTAACGTACATGGCAGTAATAGCATCTGAGGACCAGGTCCACTTAAGAGACTTCTCAAGATCACTTTTTACTCTTTCCAATTCTGCTTGAAGTTGTCTATTTTTCTCAAGTTCAGCACACAAACTAGTTTTTACTGCATTTAACTCGTTTTCAAGTTTAATATGTGCCTCGCTAGCCACTTCTTTTCCTTTTCCAGAATTCCCAGGCCTACATTCAACTTTGAGTTCCTCTATTGTTTCCTTTAAGTCTACAATCACCACTAAGAGGTAATGTCTTTCCTACTCAATAACAGCCACTTTCTCCACTAAGTCATCTTGTTCTTTACTGAAATTTCACAATGGTTTCTTTTAGGTCAACTACTACTACCATCAGATCATCTCTTTCATGTTCTACACTAGTAATTTTCTCACCTAGAACCTCCTTTTCATTTTCCAGATTATCTATAGTTTCCCTCAAATCAACAACATAAACTACCAAGTCATCTCTAGTTTTCTCAGCATCTCCTTCCATAGTTAAGGCATCCTTATCATTTACAAGACTATGGCAAGCTCCAATTAACACGTTAGCTAATGACATGAGTTTTTTAGGAGAGTACGATTTCAGATTTCTCTGAACATCCCAAAAATTTACCTCATCATTCTCATCGTCTTCATCATCATCTAATTGGGCCATCAAAGCAAATATTGAGTCATACTCATTTGCTTCACTTTCAACTGCCATCATTGAGCTATCACATGCATCATCTTCTTCTTCAGACTCGCTGGAAGAATCTCCCCATGCTGCAAGAGCTTGCTTCATAACATTGTCAGCGGCGTTCTTTCTTTTGAAGCGTTTATCAGGAACCGGGTTCCTCTTGGCTCCTTTGTCAGAGTTGTGTTTGAAGTGTTCTTGCTTTAGGAGAGGGAAATCTTTGATGAAATGCCCTGGCTTTCCACACTTATGACAGAGGTCATAATTCTTTGGCTTGCTAGAGCTGCCCATCTTTGGTATACCTCCATTCCTTCGAAACATTTTCTGAAACCTTCTGGTTAAGTAAGCCATGTCACTATCCTCGCCACTTGAGTCATTGCTTTCTGCCTTGAGTACCAGGTTCTTTTCCTTCTTTGGTTCTCTTCTTTCACTGTCCTTATTCTTCTTCATTTCATAGGTTTTCAAATTCCCAATCAGCTCATCTATAGTCAGCTCCTGCAAATCCTTTGCTTCAATAATGGCATTCACTTTACTCTCCCAGGAACTGGGCAAAACACTGAGAATTTTCCTCACGAGCTTGTTCCTAGGATTGATTTCACCAAGCGAGTGTAGCTCATTTATGATGGAAGTGAATCGAGTGTGCATGTTTTGAATGGATTCTTCGTCCTTCATTCTAAAGAGCTCATCCTTTGTGGTGAGCACGTCAATCTTAGATTGATTTACTTGAGTAGTTCCTTCATGTGCTGTTTGTAAAGCTTCCCATATCTCTTTGGAAGATTGGCAAGCTGAAATCCTATTGTATTCATCAGGACCTATACCACACACCAAAATTTTCTTGGAACGAAAATTGTTCTCCATAGCCTTCCTCTCAGCATCGTTGTATTCTTTCCTCGTCTTAGGCACTGTCACAGTAGGATCTTCGACCTTTTTTGTAGGGACACAAGGACCATCACATATAACATCCCACAGCTCGGAATCTTCAGCCATGATAAATTCATGCATCCTTGTCTTCCACCACCCATAATATTGGCCATTGAATGTGTGGTCTGTAGGTAGATTGACCCTCTTCGAAGTTTGGTGGAGCAACCATGAAGATCATTTCTAGGTGTTAACCTGATAGAAAGAACCCGCTTTGATACCAATTGATAGAATATATTAGTCCACCAAACTATATAGAGACCAGGTCCTATATAGGTTTCCACAGATAAGGCTAATGCAATAGTAACTAAATGGAATAGGGAACTTTTACGTGGAAAAATCCCTGCTCAAGGGGATCAAAAACCACGACCTACACTGGTAGGATTTCAACTTCACTATGAGCAATCTTTATATTACAACCTATGCAATCTAGGAATTAAACTCTTAATCCCTCACTAAATTGTAATACACCTATTACAAGACACTTTGCAATACACCTATTACAAGCCACTTTGCAATACACCTATTACAAAGACTTCAACTCATGACTAACTCTAGTCACGACATAAACACTAAAGGTTTATGGTTTACAAAGGGTTACTAATTAAAGCTTATAGATAAGCAAAGTAGGAATTACAATGAAGAACAATTACAAAGTTACAACTCAACTAAGGACATACAAGAGACTCGTTATTAAAACTGGTCCCTAGTAGCATGTACTTTATTCTTGATGCACTTGAGAATTGAATGCTTGATTTTCAGATGCTTAGAATGCTTGAATGAATTCTCAAGTGTTCAAGTGATGTTTTGTTGTAATGTTTATTGTTAATACAACTTGGATGACATCACTTGCATGATGTAGTCACTTGGTTGGTACAAGATCCTTCCCAATGAGAAGTGATGGTTTCACTGTGCTGCATTGTTTGTGTGTTCAGTGCAGGCAGTCACTTTCCAGCTGTCTTCGTACAGTTGTCAGGAGAACCCAATGGGATCACGCCCCTGTGTTGATTCTTTATCTCCTAAAGTCATAGCAACTCACATAAGCTTGAATTCGTTGAATGAGTTGTGTACCAAGTGTATCAGGTTCCTTATCTGGTTCTTTCATAATAAGTTTGTTAGATCATCAAAATATGAAGTTAAGGTACTATAAACCCATAAAAATGCCTATTGTGCCGAAGTCTGTGCTGACGAAGACGACCTAAATGGACTGACCAAACGGTTAACTCGGCACAAGCCGAGTCCAGGAAAGACCGAAGAAATGATGCCAGAAGAGATCTAGCAGCTCCACGACCCAACCGAGAAAGGTATGAACCATATATTAGTGGTGCCATCATGCCCCCTCCCGTCATGAAGTAGGTCCCGGAGCAAGAGAGGTATGCACCCTTACTATCAGCTTACAATTTTTGTGTCTCACCTTCAGAAACAGTCTACGCGTTGGAGAAGCTCAGCCTAAAAGTGAAGTGGCGACAAAAGAAGAGGTCCGACCCAAGCACTAGGAAGTCAAAAGCCCTCTGCGAATTCCACTAGGAGCGAGGTCATAAAACTGAGGACTGCATTGCTCTAAGGTAGGAGTTCGTGAACATTCTTCACCAAGGGCACTTGAAAGAGCTGTTGAGCGATCGAGGAAGGGCCAACTTTGCCCGAGGACATGAACAACACAAGGGGCCACCAAAACTACCTTCACCAACTCGTACCATCCAAATGATCATCGGAGGCGGCGGCAACGCATCGATCAATAGCGTAAAGTTTACCACGACCCACAAACTCAAATGGTCGATCACTCATGAACGGTAC